CGGCAACAGCGCTATTTGTTTACATCCCAGCTCCAAAAGATAAGTTGGAAGCTGTCTTATTTTCCTTTAAATTTACAAGTTGGGACCAAGAAATACAACGATGGGTGACGGTGAGTGTATTTAGAAATGTTCTCGGCTTTTTCTGAAGGGGAATAGGGTATTTTTAGATTATTGACCATAAATTTGTTGATGTCTAAAAGGCCGACCTCAAATGGTTGTTATTATGTTTCTAAATAATGAATATAAGCGTGTTGTGGTGATGTTTGAAAAATGACAGAATAGTAGGAGATATAGTAGTGTAAGGTTGATATTTAAGTCTGAGGAGGCTAAAGCCACTTGATCAATATGTGGTAAGGGTTAAGTTGCATACATAAATGCTCATCCAATTTTCTTGCAGATATTTGAATTCTAACAAGACTAACAACAAAATAAAGTCTATCCATAATTAAAAACAAACATGAATAACAATTAAATTAGTCACTTCAGAACATCATTATTAATAGTGTAAAACTGATGCTGTTGCTCGCACCATAAATGTCCATTGCTCGCAGGTCACAGCCCCGTCATTGTTGTTACTCACTACGACACGTCCATAAAAATGGACATATCTTCCAACTGGGGTTTCATACAGCTATCTTTGATTAAGCAAATGATATATGGAAACAACAGAGCGAATGAATCTATTAAACTCATCTGTTATGCATACCATCGCATATGAAGAATAGCAAATGAAAAATAATAAAGCTCTCAGACACGTGTGAGAAAGCCGCAGTATTCCCCAGAGTTTAGACATGATTTCTTAGTGTGACTGATGTACACTAAACTACTCTGATAATCATTGGTAGGTAAATTTTTAGTTTCATAGCCATCCAACATCATAATTATGATATAGTTACAGTTCTGGTACAAGGTAAACTTTACCTTTATTGGAAAGAATAAATAAAACTAAGATACTTTTCATCTGTTATTTTCTTTGTAAGTTGATAATAAGAAAGTTGTGCATCTGATACTTTGGTATGCATTTACAAGAAAAGGTAATGATACTATCATCAGCAAGGGGAAAAATCTACACTTTGATACTTCAAATAGTCTGGGTAGGCAAGAAATAATTTCAGAAATTAAGAAAATAGGTTGGGACTAATCCTGCATGGACCAGAGAAGTTTGCCTCATGCACAGAGAAGTCAAAAATTTTCCTGAACTGTTTGGGTTGCACAGCTGTACAGATTGGAAAGTTTGCCACATGTACGGAGAAGTTGTCAAAAGTTTTCCTGAACTGTTTGCCTTCACCAGGATTTCATCTGTTTTTGCACAGCTGTAATAAACTGATACTTTTGTTAAAAGAGGGATGAAAAAGGGCCTGAAAACCCAGTAGAGAAAAGAGAAAAGAACTGCCGTATCTATCATCATTTTCACCAAATAATGATACAAAATAACAGTCAGTTTACTTACCATCTGTTTTGGTTTATCTTTTGACTTTTCTTGCTGCTTTCCATGCTGTTTCAAACTCCGAACATTATATCAAAATTCAGGACTCTTGTCAAGTATCTTAATGCGAAATCATGGAAGAATTTAGTGATCAGTAGCCAAAAGATGGGTAACAATGATGATTTGTATGGGAGACCTGCAACAACATGCACACAAACAAGTTTCTTGACTAGCCTCAGATACTTTGTCATGCATTAGTTGTTGGTGTTATTGCTGGTATAGTTACAGTGTTGTTGCATGTCAGAGAGTCGCAAGAAACAAGAAAACAAGTGAATTAGTGTCCGCATAGCAATAAAAGAAATTGGATTGGATTTCTCAGTTTAAGGAAAAATGTGTGGATGTGGATAGACCTTGCAAATTTTGGTGGAAAATTTAACAGAACTGAAGAGTGTTTAGGCTGTTTTGTATCCAGGTTGTAAGTCCACCACTAGTGGCACAGTTTCAGACAATCTCCAGATGATCTGCTCCTAGTGGGGTATGGCATATACAAATAAACCATATATATTTAAGCAAAATAAAGTTTGCATTGCCATGCTGATATTTTACTAGTTCCAGATTACAAGCTAAACATCTTGAGTAAATTATAAAATGGCCAGTTGTTCAGAAGATGACCTCAAGCAGTACTTTGCAGTTTGGGGAATGTGGGCATGTGAAATACTTTCCTCGTAAAACAAAGTATTTCATGAAGTAATTTGTATGCCTCAGTTTATATCTGATCAGTATGTTACTGAAAATCTCATCCTTTTTACTTATATATCGTAATATTTCAGAGGAAATTATTAGGCGTCGGTTGATGATTGACGGAGATGGGACTGGAGATGCTCGTGTGATGATGATGTTTATGAAGTCTTTCATCAAGTGGTGCTCTACTGATGACTCTCCACAGGAATGGTAAGGTTATCTTTTTGCTCTTCATGAGAATCCTGAGCTCTTCTTTCTGTGTTTTTGTTGTATTAACCAAAGGGATCTAGGTTTCTCTGCATTCATGTGGCCTAAAATTTGAGCTTTAGGCTTACTTGAGTTGTGACCCTCCTGGGTGTGTGGCTTGTGATTATTAGCAAAGCTTGTGGAAAGAGAGGTGAAAAATTTATGCCAATATTAGTATTACTGAATTGTTGACAAAAATATGGCAAGAAAAGGGTTATCTACTGATAGTCTTTAGCATACAGACATTTGATAAAGGCAATAGATATAGAAAAGCAGGAATATATTGCTTAAGTTTTATCTGTTCTGATTATCTTCCATTCTATTTTACAGCCAGAACCAGTTTGACCGTCTCCTCACACAGCTAGCATCCATAGAACATTCTTCACTTAAATGGAAGGCAATTGTTGACATGAATCAGGAGGAGATAAAACATTATGAACTGCTAAGGTGAGTAATATAAATTGTGTCCTGTCAAAAGGTATGTAACATACTAGAAATGTATCCTTGTTATATATTTAGAAATGATGTTGCTTGGGTAGATGTGTGATATAGTTGAGTAAAAGGGCTCTAAAGACTTCAGACAATTGAGGACTCCATGAAAGGGCTCAGTGAGAGCAGTGCTGCCATGATAACCATTTATTGTATAGTGAAGATTTTTGTGCTGAATTTGAGAGTTGAGGCAAAAGTAGTAGAAAATATTGGAAAAATAAATGCAGATGGGCTGCCTAGACCACTGAGTTGGCCAGTATAGAATGTGAAGTTCTATTCTAATTTGATTATTTAATTTTGTATTAAACTGTGGTGAAAAAAGTGTCCCTTTATGATGACTTTAAGGGACCTGTATCACTGTATGGGGATATATAGGGCAAGATTTGTTCGTACCTCTACATGTCTTAAAGAACATACTGCAAGTAGCATAGAACATCATGTTGATACTTGGTCAAATGTTTAGCCTAAACCCATCAAATACTTTCTTCAACACCTTTCTACAGTAGATTTATGAGTGTAATGCTTTTTCAGAGATGAAACCAGCAGAAGTGTTGAAGATGCTTATGTAGCTATTGGTATTGCCAAACAAGAATTAGAGGAAGCCAGGCAGGTGCGACGGAACAGGCTAGAGTATGATGCCCTGGCAAGACTGATCAAGGAACACCCACCACGTTCAGATACGGCTAATAAATTGGCACACCTTACACAGCACCTACATTCTCTCAAGGTAAGATTTTAATGGATGAAAATATTGTTAGTGGGACCGTAATAATAACCTATTGACACTGGGAAACTGCTCTGTCCATTGTGATTTTGTCTTCACAAGTACTTAGTCATCAAGGATTCAGTTAGTAGGCCTACCTGAATTCACCTGCTATTCCCATTTGGAATTTTTATTTTTTTCTAGTGCTCTTGATATCTCTGTTGTTGTCATTATTATTGTTAATATTATTGGAATTATAATGTTCTTATCAGTATTGACAGCAGTAAGAAATAAGAAATAAATATCTTTCCGAAAATCAAGGCAATGGGTAAATAAGTAAGACCAGATACGACTAGTAATTGGCTCATTGGTGACTAAGTTCATGTGGTGTGTGAGCAACTAAAATCACAGAGGATATTGCATGCATGCGGTATCCAGATGCAATAGGTTAAATGTAAAGCTTGTTCTTTTTCTAATATTCTTTATTGCTAATTTTCCATACTTTCAAGACTTTCTTAAAGGGCTTGTTAAAACATGGTAAAGATCAGCAGCTTTAGCATTCATTTGCAGTCAGTGATTTGTACTAAGGGGCTTTCTGTGGGGGATATACGAGATGTTTATTTTTTTATTTACATCTCTAGGAATACAGACAGCTTTTGGGTGATGCTGTGGCATAAACATGTGGTTAAGTAATGAGGCTAAAAAGAGGCCAAACAAGTACACAACTGTTTAGCGTGCCCAACGTTGAACAAGCTTGATGCACATGATGTAGAGATATTATTCTAACTTTTGGTATGATATGATAGGACATCATCTGGTGTCATGGGGTTAATTAGCACATAATTGTTTTCAGATAATTTTTTTTGCCATTATTCCACTCAAGGAGGGTGGCCAGATTTCTTAATTAAACAGTTTCCAGGATAAAGACCCATGAAGCAATACATTTTTTTTTTTTTTTTTTTTTTTTTTTTTAACTATATGCAGTAGCCTTGTTATTTTATTTTATTTCTTTATTAATTTTTTGTTGTGATTACTGATGCCATGGGTATATTTATGTTTTGCTTGCGCAATGAAAGATTGAAAATAAAATATTTGGCATTCAGTTTGAGTAGTTTCTTTAGTTTGTACATTATTAATGGTAAAACCTGTTAATTTGGAAAGTTGTTTTTATCAGGAAATGCTGCGACAGGTTAAGAATTGGCTCCTTGGAACACCATAGGACTCGCCCATGATAAGTGATTTATGAGGGAGGGGAGGGGTGGTTACTTGAATGGAATTAATAACAGAATAGGTGATCCTCGGTTTACGATGGTCTCGGCTTAGGATGTCTCGTGGATACGACACCAGAAATCATGTACAGTATGTACAGTTTTTCTTTCATGTGTTCCTTTAGCCCTAGTTGTGTTTTCATGTCTATCATAGAAGTGTCTTGTTATGTTTTAGATTATGAATTAACACATATACAAATTGCATTTGGACATGTGAGTGACTTCGGTGCTTATGTATGTACGTACATTTAAGTATTGATATTAGATCAATAACTATATTGGAAACCCTGTATTATACATTTCAAAATGAAATTCCTGTTGTTAATGTTAGGGATAGAGATGGGCACAATTATTTTATTGGGGTGAAAATAGGGCATTGAGAATCACTAGTGTCAGAGATGAGAAGTGATGTAAGAGGCTAGAACATAAAATTACATTGAATCTGTTAAGAATATATATATTTTACATACTTTGAAACAATGAAAAATGCAAGGTAGTCACTCACTAATTTTAAACTCTTGCTGCTATGAAATTGATAAGTAATTTCAATGTTTTAAGTGGATATCTGAATGTGAAAATGAAAAGATTTCTTGTGTTTCTGCATTGACCTTGTTAATTGTCAGACTTTAGATATAGGTAACTTGTTCAATTGGTTAGTGTGAAGAAGAGAATGTTCAAAAATCCTATTATAGCCAAGTGCAGCTTAGAATGGTATGTAGAGAATTTATTGTCTGCATAATGTTTGCATAGATGCAGGTGTTTGTAGGTAGAGATATAGAGTTCAGGAAATTGTGCTGTGTCTTTGAGGTGTCTGTGCATAGGTGGTGGTATTTATGTACATGTATCATGTAGTGGAATAGGCATATTGAATAATGTGTTTAACTGTTTTCCCCTGTGCTAGGCTGTTGCTGTAAGGGAAAGACTTTTATTTTTGAAAGAGGTTTATTAGTGTTATTTGTATGGATTTGGTAGATATCTGCATTATTAGGTGAAGTTTATATTATAATCTTTTGATATGTAAAAAGCTATTTTTGAGGTATTTTAAGAAACATAATTTTTGTGATGGAATACATCAGTTATTCATTAAATTAGATGACCATTTTTCCTGAGAGAAATGTGAACCAACTTAATTACACTTAGACCTACCCAGCAAGGGTCACCCTAGATTCATCTCTATATTTGAGTGCAAATAGTAGTTTTATTTCTTTGTCCATTGCTTAAGCGTTTAAAAAAGCATAGTAAAAAAAATGCTCAGAATTGTTTCTTTTTTATGTGCTTTGCTGTTCTGTGAAAAGAAAAATGCAATATAAGATACTTTAAAATCAGCTATGATAATAGCACTAAGAGATAGTGGATTTGAGAAGATTGGAAAATATTAACTGAAGTAACTGAAAGTAAAAATACTTTAGTTTCAAAAAAGTGATTTCCTGTAATAAGGTTGACAATTAGAAGAAAAGGTAATTTATATAAGAATAATAAAGTATTATATTTAATGTTAGTATATTTTCTTATCTAAATTTCTAATATGGACACCAGTAACACAGAACCATTTCAGTTCCCTCGCTACAAATCCTTTTCTTCCTTTTTTCCAGTCTAAGAGAGACCAGCTGGAGGAGAAGCTGAGCCTGAGACGGAAGCAGCTGCATGTCCTGGTGACTGCACTCCATCAGCTTCAGCAGACGCTCCTGCATGACAACTCGCCATCGCAAGACGAGGAACCAACCCTTGTTGATGAGATCATAGACTTGACGAAAGCACCAGCAACTATAGATCTGACTGGTTCTGGGGCGGCAATGGATACGACATAGGGCCAAGGGATTTATTTTTTATTTTTTTATTTTTTAAGAAAGGAATAAGGTGTTCATTTTCCATATTGCTTTTTCTGTCATCAGCCATTGTTATCATTATGGATACTTTTAGCATATGAGTGAATAATGGAATGAAATATGAAAAAACTTATATAGTAAATAAAGCTAAATGTTTAAAATGTGATTTTTATCAAATAAACATTATCCTATTTTACGCATGGACGCGTGCGCACATGCACACGCGCACACACAACACACACACAACACACACATCTCCGGTCTGACCTGGAAATAGAATCGAGGACGATTCCGAAACAGTTGTCTCTCTTACTTCAATAAATCTAGTTTGTGCATTGTGGGTTTTTCTGCCATAGTATCAACAGTTAGAGTTTTTCCATTCATATATATATATATATATATATATATATATATATATATATATATATATATATATATATATATGTATATCTATACACATATACATATGTATATATATGCATAAATATATGGTTTTACACACCCTGCAACAGAGTGTGTAAATACTTTTAGTGAGACGGGATGTGTTTTCAGCACCAGGATCAGCGAATATCTTGCTAACGTCCGTTACCACAGGATTTCCAGGGCCTTAGTGGTGCATATGTCTGAGGCATATGCCGGACTGGAATGGAGAGAAATAATCCATGGAGGACTAAAGAAACACACACGCACACGCACACACGCACACGCACCACACACACACACACAAATGTACATATATATCTATATCTAGTAGTATTCAATCTTCAGCGCCGTGCGGAACCTCAAGATGGCTACTTCGAAAGATCTTTCGGTAAAAAAATCTATCCAAAAAATTGCTGATGGGGTTCATAATGGAAATACCGAGAAAAAAGTAGTTGTATACCTTCATTTAAGAGATTTAAAAGATTTACGGTTTTTTTGGTTTATTTTTTCAGCGTGTCATACAACGTGCACGTAATAATCTCAACATGAGTGTATAGTGTACGGTGTACCCTACCACATACATTATATAGCCCTGTTAACTTTCTTCTATGGGCTGTAATTTACTCCCAGCAAGATTAATTTGATGTGATTCAGTATAATATGGACCTCCGGGCTGTTTTGTCAAGGGAGACTCCATCAAACACGGTTCTGTAAAGAGTATTGTTTGTGCCATCTGGTGGAGGAAGGGTCCATTATGGCTGGAGACGAAAATGAAAATAATGAGATCACTGGAACACGAAGCTCTTGCAGGTAATGAAGGAATGACACTGGCCACACAACACACAACACACATACACACGCACACACACATACACACGCACACACGCACGTACACACACAAACACACACATACACACGCATACAGACGCACACACACTCATGCACGCACGCACGCACATACACACACACACGCACACACACACACACACACACAACACACACACACACACACACACACACACACACACACACACACACACACACACACACACACATACACACACACACACACACGACGTACACAATGCATGTAAGTCTGTTCGTTTCCAAATGATAATCATACGAATTACACAATTTTTCGAGTTTCTTTGATTCGATATTCTTTTAACTACTTAATAGAAACGGAAATAGCGATTCAAACAGCGACATTTAAAAGCATTTGGTTCAAAATATGTCATTCCCACACGACCTCCAGAGACCGTTACATCGCGCGGAATCGAACAAAAAATAATCATAATAATTATCCCGTAAATTTCGTGTCGCCGAAGGTATCCGAACACCAAAAAATTTCGCGCTCTGATAATCGCCGCGTCTTTTTTGGCGGTGAAGATGCTTGTGATAATGATTGACACGTCGGGACCGCGAATTAGCTCTCACGAATGGGAAAGGCGATTCCTTACGGCTTTAATTGGGACGCCCAAAATAGGCCTAATGGCTGCGTTCGGAGCCGCCTCGCTTGGGGAGATTCGCCGCTTGGGGAGGATTGGGTTTGGCTTTGGTGACAATATATGGGTATATATATTATATAATATATATATATATATATATATATATATATATATATATAGAAGAGAGAGAGAGAGAGAGAGAGAGAGAGAGAGATAGAGAGAGAGAGATAGAGAGAGAGAGAATGATCGCGGGCATTTACTTGATCAATTTATATCTACAAATCAAGATAAACAACTTTTTCTTTGATATTTTGCTCCTGTAAGGTTACATTATAGACACAAAATGAGTTTATTTACATTCATCCCGGCAAAGTCAATACCACATCATATGACTCGAACACGTTGGAAATCCTAACCATGTTCGAACGACCGGCAAGATTGACTTCAAATTTTAATGATAGGCTTTATCTGTAGTGTCCTTATCTGCATTTCTGAGCAATTCTTTGAAATTTTGTTCAAGTTCAAGTCAACGCTCCACCCACACAACTTGTCTATTCAGGTAAAATGCCAACTACTTATATTTTATTTTGTAACTTCATTTTGGGCATTTAAGGAGTATTTAAAAGGTATTTTATGATGAAACACATGTGAAAATGGTATCAGATTCTACAGAAAGGTATGACGTTTATTTCTAGCCTCAAGATTCAATAAAACTTAATACAATTGACATCGAAGGTAGCATTGATAAATTTGGAATAAATAATCGTTCAGACTTCTTTACGTGACTTACATTTATCTTAAAACTCACAAGAGTCTGTTTATGGTTACTTTTAGATGAGAAACAAACATATACGAATAACAAATATGCTGTATGTGTTTCTGAGATGTATCAAAAAGTCAAATAGATAAAAACTGTCGAAGTAGTCACATTAAGAGCAAAATATTTGTATAGGGTCACATTAAGAGCAAAATATTTGTCTACATTTTCATAGGCAGCAAGTGAACCTTCGAATAAAGCTTCACAAATAATACTGTTACTGTTTCTTTTTTTATTCCATATAGATGAAGTTCATGACACGTGATAATAATGATAAGCATAATGACAATAATGATAGTAATGGTAATCTGGTTCCTTCAGATTTCCGGTATTGATATCATAGCTCATTTTCAAATTTACCGCCGTTTATGTTTTCATGGCGCTGTACTCCAGAATCAACTGCTGGATCTTACTTGCACGTGTCAATAGATATTTCTGCTTATTCCTTGACATTTTATCAGCTGCATGGATTCAAAAAGAAAACAGATGGTGTAAACGTAAACCTTTTGCGTTATCGATTACAGAGGAAGTGGAAAAAAAAACAACTGACAGTTTTTTTTTCCCACTTTTCATTTGGTGACTGGGTTTCTTTCTTTAAAGGACTGTGCAATAGTCATTTTCTTTAAAATATACACAGCATGTATGACCATAATAAATCCAGCATCTTTAAAAATCCGGCACTCATCAAATCCGGAGATTGCCGGATTTTTGAACATCAACCCGTACTACTACTAATTATTATCATTATTATACCTTATTTCATCATCGTATGTACACTAATCGGAATAATGAGCATTAGTATATTTTTTTTCTAGAGTCAGTCTGCATCTTCAGACCCATCAGGTATCAAGAGATTCCTATCAATATCTACTAATAAAATGTAGCAGAAATATTCACTGTCATTCTTAATATCATCATACATTATTGATATCATTATCGTATTATCATCTTCCATTATATTGTTAAAAATAACTTTATAAAGAACATCCTTAACAATAATATAACTTGGTAGGAATGTGGAAATCAATGAAGTAACTGATGAAAATGACGTAAAATGGATATTATGATGTAATCCATAATTCTAACATGTGATGTGGCATCGTGTGCAAGCCATTCAAATCTCAGTTACCATATAATTATATCATTTCTCGTATATGTAAAGAGACCTTCATGCTACGGAACGCTCCGTGTGTGGTGCAGCTGGTTGTGTTCCAGCGGTACGATACTTCGACTTGATGGATATATATATATATAATATATATATATATATATATATATATATATATATATATATATATATAATACATTTATATATTATGCACTACACTGCACACACACACACACTCATCATATATATGTATATATATGTATTTGTAAACAGTATATATATATAAATATATATATATATATATATATATATATATATATATATATATATTATATATATACACACACACATACACACACACACACACACACACACACACACACACACATATATATATATATATATATATATATATATATATATGTGTGTGTGTGTGTGTGTGTGTGTGTGTGTGTGTATGTGTGTGTGTGTGTATGTGTGTGTGTATATGTGTGTGTGTGTGTGTGTGTGTGTGCGTTCATATATATATATATATATATATATATATATATATATATATATATGCACACACACACATACGTATGTTCATATATATACATGTGTATATAGTTACATACACATATCTGTGTATCTATGTATATACCATCTGTCATCAATCTGCCCATGTACCCGTCTCCGTCTCAATCTCCCGCTCGGCTCGTCTGCCCGCCACTGTCAATCTCCGAACGCAGTCACAAACCACAACAGGGTTACACCGCAGATCGAGTAACGCTGCTGCTCTTAAGTTGCTTCACAATCACTCGACCATGACGAATGTGATAACCGCGACGCCGAGAATGAAGATGCGACGATGTTTTGGATAATTAGCGATGAAAATGACCTTACGAGCGAGAGAGGCGTTCGCAGAAGAGAGGATTCGTTGCAGTTATGTACTGTTAGGACGGTTAGACCTACATTTAGCGGCGCGTAAATGTTGCGAGTCGTTAGAGCGGAGAAACATCCAGGTTTTATATGAAATTACTGGATGTCGTGGGCAATGAGAGGTGATTCGAAACAGTTTTAATTATTTCAGTGACTTTTTCTTCGTTGCTTTTAATCTAGTGACACAGTGCATTCATTTTCTTGGAAATCTTGTGTCAGAACAGTTATTTCATTGGCAATGTTCTATTTTTTCCCCAGTAAACCGCTGTATTAATTTATTATTTTTTCATTATACATATTTACAGTTATCTAATTCGAAGGCAATGCTCGCCTCCTGATAATTTTATTTCTGATGCTATGTCCCACCAACGAAATCTAGATAAAAACCGAAGCTCATCCAATAATAACCTATGTATTTGCCAACTCTTATTTACCCTCGTATCC